AGTTTCCGTCAATCTTATTTTCTGCTTGAATCCAAATTGCACGAAAGTCGCTAATGGCTGTATTTAACGAATAGGTGATTATTGTCTGTTCTTTTTGGATAACTCATCTCGTCGCAATATCTTCACGTATTCAACTGTTGCTAGCACAGGAAACAGCGATACTTTGTAGTTCTCGTTGAAAATCGATCACGAATGACACGGTGGATTTCCTGTACAGTTACTGATTTTTTCGCCCATAGTTACAGCTTATGCCTTTTTTTACGACGTATAAACTACTACTGAATTCTCGTCTACGGAGCTGGATATCTTATGAAACAAGAATAACTGATACGTAAACCTATCAACTTGTATAGGCATCCCCTCACAAACCACCGTCCCGATATATATATTTAGACTGCTGCACTTCGCGGATGGCCATGGAAACGCGAGCGCGATAATAAAAGGGTGCGTTTTTCAACTTTTTGCATTGTACCGTATTTTTTCTCTTAGATGGGGTAAGCCGGCCCATGGCAACCTGAGGTAGAGTCTCAAAGCTCACGACTGTACCATTTTTTTAGACGTTTTGGGACTCAACCTGTCCACGTTGAAGTTGGGATGTTGGATTTAAAAAATTGGAGGTGGATTTTCTGCCTTCATTGCTGCACTAATTACCGGAGACTATGCTGAAACGGGTTCGCCGCTTTGGTGGAAACCGAATCGATGAGCACGTCTTGTTAGGGCTAAAGACCCTATCGAACTGAACCGCCGCACGAACTGTGCACATTGTCCGGCCAAAATGATAAACCAGAAATCCAGGCAAGGAGGGCAAACGACCTCCGCGTTTTCCTCCACGAAATCCAAACTGGTTAAGATAAGTTGAACGCGAATCAGCCGTTGCACCCCAAGCACTTGAATCAACCCATTAGATCTGCTTCGATGGCGCATTTATATTCCTGTCATAAACAGACATGCGCTGAAGCACCAGAGGTCAACACAAGCGAACTGCGTCAAGCGTAGTGATGGGGCCAGCAACCCGTCTATCTGACTTGGTCGTACTGCACACCTTAGTAGATGCAGTGGCCAGAGATCAAGCAGGAATTCGAATAATGGCCATGGTTTGTTCGCTGAACTAGGTACTTTGACTGCAACCGTTTCATCACCATTCGAGGTGCGTTATTAGAGGGCATAGTGGGCATGGCGTCACAGCCAGCACAACATCAAACCGAGACTCATCTCAGTCAAACTGCATACAGTGCACGTACACGAAGCTAGGACCCACGCAAACTGGTAACATCTGGCTGCTAACTGATTTCAGGAAGGCACCACTCAGAATGCCTGGTAGCGGACCTAAACAGCACTGCAGTTGCACTCAGTTGATTGTAGAAGCCCTTGAAAAAGATTGGCTACGTGTTTTTACGAGGGCATAGTGGGCATGGCGTCACAGCCAGCACAACATCAAACCGAGACTCATCTCAGTCAAACTGCATACAGTGCACGTACACGAAGCTAGGACCCACGCAAACTGGTAACATCTGGCTGCTAACTGATTTCAGGAAGGCACCACTCAGAATGCCTGGTAGCGGACCTAAACAGCACTGCAGTTGCACTCAGTTGATTGTAGAAGCCCTTGAAAAAGATTGCCTACTGTGTTTTTACACTAAGCTGTCCACACAAAAAACAGTCAATCTATTGATAACTTGCTGGGTGATGATCGTGACTGCGGAATCAGACCATGAAACTGCAGAACAAAGTACTCTGTCGGGTAGAAAATAACACATTCTGTTGTTAATTGGGAATAATATTTAATGAATCTAAGGGGCAAAAAGTGAACCTATACAACTGCACTCCTTGGTGAAAAATAGTCGTTGCACACTCACATGGAAATCAAGATGGTGTTAGTGAAGTACCGAATAGCAGCTGAATCTTTCGTGTGCAGGATCTTTCGAATGAGAGTGCTCCAAATAATTCGTGCGTTGTGTTTCACTTAGAATAAAATTCAATAGATCGAAGTATTTTCCTTGAGATCATACAAGTCATAAAGTCCAATAGCCGTCTCCAACAATACTGTAAGTGGTACAACATTATCGAAAATAATCTACGTTTGTCAGAGCTAACAGAATAAACACTTTAAGTGTCATAAAATTTACGTTCTCTTCTGTGGCCTATCCTCTCTACCAACAGAACCAAACTGTGAAGCTGTTTAGCGATCCTTGAAAGAATTCTGACGTCTTAACAGTGAAGCAAAGTGCTCACTTCAACAAGTTTTGTATTTGTGGTATTCACAAGCCTCGGACTGTTGGACAAAGTTGAATAAGTCTTCGTGTCATGAATACATCCACGAGGGCGCCATTCGGCACTTGAATGTGGTGGCATCTTAGACCCATTCTGTTTTATATGAATCACTATCACGGGGCAGCATGAAACTCGGAATGCCTGAGACCTTATTGGTGAAAGTTCGAACAGGAAAATCTGTAGTAAGCATTGGCCACTTCAAATGTTTCCTATGTACATTTGGCTAATTTTCGAGTAGACGGTTTTCGGTTAAGGAGCATGGGACTAACAAGTTCCCGGTTTCGGCGTCAGAATAACAGAGACACATGGATTGCACATTAAGAGTAAGTTCGCGACTATCAAACAATATGCAGCGGTGATGATCTACTTACCGTTCTCTCATTTCCGCCGTTTGGTTGAGTCAAATAAAGACGTGATTTGCCTTGTTGTTGACCGTAGTCGCCTGCTTGTTATTGTATCCACTTCCGCATTTAATGAGAGCAAACGAACCATTCAAGACTAGAGTTATGTTCATCTTACTTCTTGATGATCGCTACTGCATGATTCTTGCTGCTAAATATTGCGGCTCTACTTGCCGGGCTTGGGTTTGGTTCCAGGACAAAAGATCATAGGCCGGAATATTGTCTTCGAAGTATCCGTCCTGTCAGACCCACTCTCTTGCAGACAAAGTCTACACTACATGCAGCTTGACGAGTTTCTTCTGAGTCAATCTCAACCAACTGCAGTCCTCTACAACTTCGGGGGAAGAAGAGTGAAAGGCAAAAGTACTGGCAAGTTCAACAACAATAGTGTGCCAAACCAACGTAAAAAAACCATTGACTCTGGATTACAGTAGGCAGACGGTCAAAATCACAATAAAAAATGCGATCTGTCATTCCGATGGAAAGCAGTAGTAGTGGGACCCCCTGAAAATGAGACATACATTGGTAGAGTGGGGGAAAACTCACAGCTTCCCAAATTTTTAAGATATGGCTAACCTTTTTACAAAGGTATCACTTGTTTACTTTTGATCCTGATCTCAGAAACCGAATGTGCTGTGCAGAAGCCCGCAAGCTATATGGACCTGTTCTGGATGTACTCGGTAGGAGCTATGGTCATTCATCGATCGTTGAAAAACAAGAAAACTTGACGGACTCCATTTATTTGTGATTTATAGATTTCTATTACGCTACTCTGTATTACATCCAGCAAGCTTCATTCATCCGTAAAGCATGCCAGTGGAACAAAATCCCATGGCATAAGCCTGCCATTTTTATCATCAAATCGCATGAGCTCCGCATCTATCATAAATCCTCATATTTCGAAAACTGTCAACGGCAAAACGTTTATTTTGGTTCAAATTTCATCGAGTAATTCCACCTAAATATGTGACCCCGAATAACAATTATTTGTGTGCAATCTAACATTCCTAGTTGTTTGAAAAATACACCTTAATATGTTAGACAGACCTCACGAATCCACCCAAAACTGATTGGTCCAGCTATCTTGTTCTCAGACTGGGGCGCACACCGAGGGTTTTGTGATGTACAATCCTAAATTTGATGATGCTATTATCGGTTAGTCCTCCACCCACATGTGGGATTTCTGCACCTGTAATCTTTACGCCTCCCGGTTTCAGTATTTCTGCACACATCTTGTTTGGCTACATTAGTGACCTTCGATTTAGCTGTCGTATTTTCGCTAGTTGCCATCGTATAACGTTCACCCATTATTAAGACCAGTATAATTCTAGTTCTTCTAGGGGCAATAGAATATTCTTTCGACCCAACGACCATAACTGTTTCAATAAGTTTATCGACGGGCTTTATATAGCGGAAGCTCACTTTCACCAATTTCTAATGAGGACAGTCACTATCCACTGCATTGAATGACTCGCGTGGGAGCGCAAAATATGTTCGCTGCTGCGCTATTATGCTGTGTTCAAGACACTGATAACTGAAACTGATTTGCTGAGGTCAACCTCTTCATTTTGCTAGATGACTAATCATTAGTGAATACTACGGCCGAATTGATTCAGCGTGAATAATGTGGAAACCAGTGGGCGACCACGATTGCAAATATCGTTATTCTTGAGCAGTATGGTTAAATAAAGCAAACCGATGATTTCGACAAATGATGTGATAACGGACAACCTGAGATGTTGACGCTTTGAGCGGGAAGCTCATGATCAGTCCACCGGAAACCGGTTTCGTCATGGAACCTTGTACTCTACGACTGCCGAACAGGTGGTCTGCACTCCACTCGGTCAACTGGAGACATACAACCGTTTTATCTCTCGACATCTTTTTATTTATTCTGGTTCACTGGAGATCAAAACCGAGACTCAGAAACTACGTTATTTTGTTCGACAGCCTGTCACAACAGATTATACCTGGATTTGGCTACACCATGAGTGGCTGAAACTAACCAGTCGTCAGGATGAATGTTATTCAACAGGTCAAACGTTTTCAGGTCAGGTTTATCGCTGGAAGTGAAAGTGAGGCGATTCGGTGATTAAATCATAGACCTTAAATTTTGGCGCTCACCAATCGCAACCATTATCAGGTATCGTCCAACTGCGTGTTTGTATGCTTGCACAAGTGTGTACACAGCCGTACACTGTGTTAATTTAGCATGTGACGACTCTCCTGTTTACAGTAAACAAACAGCATTGGAACATCCAGGTAGAATCACTTGTGTGAAACTGGATCAGTATATATTGCTGCGTATAAACAACCAGTAGAATAGTGCAGCCGAACTGGGTGTTCACCGTCGCGCGGAACGATCTCGTTTAAGATGAAGCAGTCAGTTTGGTGGGTTGTGACTGCATTACTATTGCTACACCAAAGTTCTGTTCACTCCCATCAAAGCTCAAAAGAAGGAGAGCATGGAGACTATCATACAGCTCACGGTGGTGGCAGCTCGCTCTGTTGTTCAGGACAGCATCAGCCAGGTGAATCTAACGGACACGGAGGAGGCACCGTAATGAACCCCACGCACCATAACGACCATCATAAGTGTGGCCACAACAAAACCGAAATCAAGGTAAGGGTCACAATGTTTAAGTTATTTCTTTGAAGCACTGTTCATAAAAATTATGGTAGTCTCAGAATATTCGGTAAACTCCGTTTGAGATTTTGTCCCGTAACTGAAGCCAGCCTATGCTGAAAAGCCCACAACAGTTTCATCTTCATCTGGAATCATCAACAGTGCGCGTCTCACGCGACCTCCCGGCTAGTAGTCAGAACACAGGCGTTTGGTCAGGAGTGGATGATCAGCATTGTGAGTGACTTCTGGTTAGACGGGATATAAGACAGGGTAACAAAATGTGTATTGTCAACCGTAGTCAAATCTAATGGGAGAGTTCTAATTATACTTTGTGAATTCAATAAACCTGATGACAAGGTTTTATAACTGCTTGGAATACTTAGACTGCGTGGATGACTAAAAAAACACTAGAAGCCTTCATACAAGCCTTCAACTTCTGAAAAATCTTCGTAGGTGCTGAATCAAATAAGTACCGAGGACGGACAGCAACAAGATCACATGATCAACCTCATTTTAATTTTAGATGGGCCGATAACTGACCAAGTACCATTATTTTTCTTACTTAGTGTACGTAAATTTTCACAGAAAATTGGTCAAAATTCAAAATTTTCATTTAACGATTACGCCTCAGCTAGGTGTATCTTGTACCTGAGCTGTGGCTCGTCTGAAGTAGTTCTTTTGACACAATACCAATTACAAGATTGGGGTACACTGTTCGACTACCCACTCCTGGTTCTGCCCCGCCTAGGGCTCATCGACCGGACCTGATACGTCAGTTCAAATCGGTCCCACCTCCTAATAAACACCAAGTTGTACGTAACTGGGGTAGAACGGTCATTTGGAAACTGACCCGTGCTTAACAGGAGGCCCAGATGACTCTCAGCTAGTTCTCGGTTGTCATAAGAATCAACTAATTCTCGTGTTTCTCGCGATCAATATGGCAGCTAACGGACACGGTTTGGCAAACAGTACTGATAACCATTACAATACGTCTTCATCTAACCCTTACATTAGCCATGTGTTGATGTGAGCTTTTCAACAGATTTCATTTAAGAACGATGAAATACATAATTTTCTGGTTCCACTACACTGATTTTATTATTAGAGAACAATCGCCCAAACCGATGTTTGCTTTGGCCGGGGGAATCTTTCTTACTTCTTCAAGCTCCTCCAGAAGTTGGCTACACACTTCGAATTTTGAAATTTATTTGAATTCCCTGTCATTGAAACTTTGTTCATTGATAGGTCAGGATTTTGGCTTCTTGTTTGTGCACCAAACTCTCCTTGGTCGAATGTGACCCTCTTGTTGAATTGTGTATGGGTGACATAGACGTCAACCAAATGTCTGGCTAATGTGCACCACGGCAGCGCAACTTTTAGAACTGGTAGAAAGTAATACAACGACTTCAGTTAAACTAAATGCCTATGAAACGATTCGCTACAAGTAAAATGTTTTTAACATTGGAAGAACTAGGAGCCAATTATGGTGAAGAGAATGGTCCACGTTAGTTGACACAAAGTGGATTCACATAACTCATTTGCAAAAAAATTTTGGTTTCGTAAGAGACTCAACTAGAACCCGAGTGAATCTCTCGTTTGTGATGAGTAGTGCATTATATATACATCGATTCACATCACCTTTTCTCATTCTGAACCAGGCTCCCGAATTTCATAAATTAAAGAAAACACTACCCAAGCTAATTCTAATGTTCTTTTGAATCTCCTGGTAATGCTCTTCAGGAGGTACAACCATTCTATAAGGGTCAGCCCTCATAAAAACCGTTGCATCCTGATAATTGAAATGGGTTCAAACTTGGTTTGTTTTGAAGGACCACCATCTCCTTTGAGAACACGAATTTTTGGATCCATGAGCTGGACAATTCATGAACTTAATCATGCTACATGTTATATGCGACATAAGACCAACCTGTATTCTATCGTTCTTTCTTGTTTGCATCTTCCTTTTCTGTCTCCTATCCACTTAAAAACACACTGCCAAACTCATGAATATTAATTTCAGAGTGCAGTAAAGGTCAATGTGCGAAACCAGTAGGTATGTAATATCAGACAGCAATCTCAGTTCAGTGTCACCCCTCAGGAGAGTACCTTTATTGGGTGTTCGCTCAAAAATTAGTCAAAATGCGTCGATCCCACGTGGGCTGAACTACCATCAGGTGTTTCTAGGGAGAGAGCAGCCTGTGCATCTAATGTGGAAAATAACCTTTTGTGCATATGCTATTGCACACTAGAAGCTACAGTGTCTCTGATCGACCGGAGCGACGGTAACAGCAATGTGTTCGAATAACGGCCTCCACCTTAATGCGGCCGATAATCCCAATGAAATAGCGCAACAGCGCAACTTATAATAGGGTTTTCAGAGTCCACGTGCTGGTTATAAGAGTCATCCAGCCCATGGAAATGATGGTACAGGTCGCTCATACATATGTCTGCATCAAGCTGTGATCAAAATTATATTGGTTGATGAAACACCACATGACACGTACATTTCTGATTGCCGAAAATCCGAAATCACTCGCAGTAGTCGCGCCATTTTTTTCAAGCAGCGTTGAAGCAGACTTTTAATCAATACTTTGTGAGGCAGCTCATGGTAAGTACAATCTTACAGATGTCCATGATTCTCTGTCTCGTCTCAGATAACGAGTTATGAGTCGTGGGCAGGTTTCAGAGTACACCGCAAGAGTTTGGGTCAAAATTTGACATGCACACAGAGTATTCGCTGTTTGTTCGTCTACTTTTGGTGTAAGAAGCCAGAAGTCAAAGGAGCTGGGCTTTGAGAACTGCGGTTGTCACAAAGTTTTGTCAGGCGGGCCTTCCTGAACAGTGGCGGTTTTTGATGATCATCTCAGTTAACCTTAATTGTGTTTCGGGAAAAATCATAGCATTCCAATCAAGCCGTCACCGATTACCCGTACATAGGCTGTTGACTTCCAAAAAATCGATCTGTAATGGAGTTCGAACTGAAATTTCACAGAGCAGTTCATTTAAAGACCTTCGAAATACTCGCACCACACAACACACCAAAGCGAGGTGAGTACATGACGAACCTCGTTGTTCTTCAACGGGTCACTTTACGTCATTTCATCCTCATTCTATTTAAATGAACATTGGCGAGAGAAGAAATTTACAATTTTATGCAAAAGTTACCAAATAATGATGTCAAGGTTAAAGCCCATAGCCTCTAATCCTTCATTCAACAGTGCTGGCGGAGTTCAGATACCAAAAGAAATCTTGGCTAACGTCGTGGTAGAAGTGGGCACGAGTTCAAAAGGCATTTTCATATAATTCAGTGACGCATCAACACAGGAAGACCTAGGCGGTATAACAGTGGACAGTATTCACGCGTTCCAAAGAGTGAAGCACGTATAAAACAAGGAAGAGTAGTGTATTCGCAAACTACTTGTGTACGCTGTTCATCCGCAGAAGGATTGAACCCTCAGTGGTAAAACACAATCATAGCAATCACAACGTACGTCGATATTGTACATTACGTGGGGATGCCCCATTCAACCTTTCAAGTGCTTAAGTCTTCCCGGACCGTGCTAGATGAAGGGAAAACCTGAGTCGAGCAAGTGGTAGAGGACGTGGATATTTTCGTGATGGAAACTACTCACAAGGTTGCTGAAAACTCTCCGACAATCCACGACCGGTTTCGCCCTTCTCCGGGCTCATCAGGTAGGCGCAGTCCCGGAGTTTCCGTCAACCTTATCTTCTACTTGAACCTAAATTGGACTGTTTTCGAGAAATACACTCATTTGCGAACCAACTTGGTTTTCACGAGAGACTCAACTGAATCTCTCGTTTATGATGTTCCACAACTGAATGTGCTGCACACAGGCCGCCTCATATTTCATTTGGTACGATATTCGAGATATGGAAGTATATTTTCATAAATGAAACTACTCACAAGTTTGCTGAAAACTCTTCCACAGTTGAGTC